GTTTCACAAAATAAAAAGCTTGGTAGGCTGAGGCAGGAGGACCATGAGTTCAGAGACAGCTCATTGAGAACAGCTCATTGCTTCTTGGAATGTAAGAAGGTCAGCATAGTGGGCCCAGTTTATAAAATTATTTGTATCTTTTTTTTTTAAAGAGAGAGAGAGAGAACTTTTTAATATTTATTTTTTAGTTTTCGGCGGACACAACATCTTTGTTTGTATGTGGTGCTGAGGATTGAACCTGGGCCGCATGCATGCCAGGCGAGCGCGCTACCGCTTGAGCCATATCCTCAGCCCAAATTATTCGTATCTTAACCTTATGTTTCCACTGTCCTCATCTATTTGTCCCCTAATATTATTCCTCTTATTTTGCACCCACTCCTCTACTCCTCTGGTCTTTTATTCTTGTTGGTCTACTTTTAGTTTTCATAAGATCTTCCCATTCCCTGCCATCCCATCCAATTTTCCCCCTCTTCTTCCTCTTAAAATTCCAACCATGAAAGAAAACACAATCTTTGTCTTTCAGAATTTGGCTTATTTTGCTTTGCCTAATGGTTTCAAATTCTTCTTTGATGTTAGTGTAAAATGGTAATAATAGATTGGGTTGAGTAATGTTCTTTTTGGGGAAAAGAGTTTATAAAAGAGTGGTACTTACACTTTAAATGATTGCTATAGCATTTATCTGTTAAGCCATTTGTGCTAGAATTTTCTTTGGTTGGAGAAGTAATTTAGTCTCTTCAGTTGTTGCAGATTTATTCAGATTATTGATTTCTATTTATGTTAATTTTGGTAGTTTATGTCTTCCTGGGGATTAATTAATCTCATTTAGGTTATTTATTGACATATAGTTGTTCATATTAATGCTTTACCATCTCTTTTATTTCTGGGTTGATATTGGTATTGTCCTCTATTTTGAAATTTTGGTTTAATTGATTTTTCTCTGTTTTCTATACCTTATTGAGTTGTTGTTGTTACTATTATTATTATTATTTGGTACTGGGGATGGAACCCAGGGGCACTCAATCACTGAGTCACGTCCAGCACTATTTTGTATTTTATTTAGAGACAGGCTCTCACTAAGTTGCTAAGTACCTCCGCATTGCTGAGACTGGCTTTGAACTCGAGATCCTCTTCTTTCAGCCTCCCTAGCTGGGATTACAGATATAACTCAGCACCCTGCTTGAGTTATTTTGCTTTCCTACATATTTCATTTTTTTCCTTGCTTTGGTTTAGTTTGTTTTTTTAATTTAAAATTTATTTCTGTCAGTGTTTTAATGTGGTTAATTAGGATAATCTTGTGTTTCTTCCTTCTAGGAACTCATATTTCTGGCTATAAATTGTCCTTGTAGTATTGCTATAGGTGCTTCCATCAATCTTGGTAGGTTGTGTTTTTGTTTTCTTTCTTATCATAGTACTTTCTGATTTCTCTTTTGTTCTTTGATCTACTGGAAATCTGTAATATGTGCATATTTTTCACATATTTGTGATTTTTCTCTTCTGTGATTACAAATGTGTTCCATTGTGATTGTAAGAGATAGTTGTTCTGAATTTAATAGTTTGAAACAATTGAGTCTTGTTTTATGGGCTATTATATAGTCTACCCTCCCAAAAAATGTTTTTGTGAACTTGAAAAGAATGTGTATTCTGTTGCTGAGAGGAATGCCTGTACGTTTTGTCAGGTCTGTTTGGCTTACCGTATTTTCAATCTTCTGTGTTTATAATGCTTTTTTACTTATTGTTCTATGCATGAACGATATAGTATTTGGGAAGAGTTTGTGAGAGTTAGTAGTAGTAGTGGTGGTGCTAATTCTTAATTTTTTATATATATATAAATTCATCAGTGAAGTTATGTGGAAGTATTCATTACTGTTGATTGTCAAGTTCACATTGTAGTTTTGTAGGTTCTATCATTTTGAAGGTATTTAAGCAATCAATGAAACTATATGTGTCAGTGCATATTCATCCTCTTCATTTTTGTGTTTTTTCAGATTTCCATTTTGCATTTTCATAAAATTGTGAATTTCTCATATATGATCCAGTGTGTTCCATTATGACTGGAAAGCAGAACATTGTCTGATAGAGAGTAATGGTTGTTCCTTTCTTTGCTCCATTGTATTCCTGGGGTGTATTTGTGTGTGTGCATGCACATTCTTTCTATATTTTGTTTAAACCTTAGTATTTGGTTAGAAAAGTAAAATATTTAAATTATTATACTTTTTGCCTTTGGTTACAGATAACAGGCTTTTTCTCTCTTATTCTCTCACCAGTGTCCATTCTTCCATGGCCTGGCTTGAAATCTTTTGCAGGGCTCTTCTTAACAGACATAAGAGAATCTAGGGATTTCAACTGAGTGTCATATCTTAAGTCTTAAGGTACTTGGACCGTTCCACTTTAAATTCTGGCTATAAGTTGTCCTTGTAGTATTGTTATAGGTGCTTCCATCAATCTTGGTAGGTTGTGTTTTTGTTGTTGGCTTGAACAGGTCTTAAACTAATTTCTATACAAATGGTATTTCCTTCTATATCTAATGATAACTAGCTTTCTGTTTACCATGTGAGATGAAGTTTTTTGTGAGAAATTAAGATAGTTGGTTTTATAAAATGTTTTTATTATTATAAATATTAACTTATTACTTGTATAAATTAATTGATTTAAGAAAATATTGAGTGAATTATAATAATCTGATTTTTGGATATTTAAAATGTGTTAGAGTTATAGTTTTAAAAGTTTGAAAGATGCAATTGGGAGAGAGAAGATATTCTAGGCAAAAACATTTTGGGAAGCAGAGACATAACTTATATAATTTGTATTTTTAAAGAAATAATAAACTAGTATGACAAAGAATTGCAAACATTATGTGGGTTACCCTATATTTTTATGACATAGTTAGTGTTTAAGTATGCACTGACAACTATCTGATATAATTTTCCAAAGGTAATTATTTGTTAAAGAATTTGTGGGTTATACACGCTTATGATTTTTTTTTAATGAATTAACATTAGTTTAAATGATGTTAACTTAATGACCTAATTTATTCATGAGTATATATGTTTCCTGTGAAAAAAGTACTTCCTCGGGCCATCACCTTTTTAAGAATAATCTCTTGACAATTGAAATAGTGACATTTATTGGATCATCATTGTTCTCTAAGCAGAATAATTGTTTTTTTTAGTGGTTTTTTATTTTTATTTGATTTTTAAAATAATTTTTTTTTTTATTAAATTTATTTTTTTTTACTTTAAATTCAATTTATATTATTTAAAAATAAAATATTTGTGTAATAAACCCTATTGATACTTTGCCCATATCCCTTTGTTATTTTTTCATATCCCTTTGTTATTGCTTTATGAACATTGAGCACTTAAGAACTGTCTTTGGCAGGCAGCTGCTATAGGATAATAAGCATCACCTCCTCTTCCTTTAAGGAATATCAAAGATGGTTGTCACCTCTGGGGATGAATACTCTAGCTTTCCAACCCCACATTAGGGTCTCTGAGTAGAATTCCATACTGTCACACAAAATCCCCAGACTAACTATAACAGGATAACTCAGTAATGAACTTTTGGGGGGCTCACTTCCTTCACTGTCTGATAAAAATACTATCCTGATTTACTCTTAAAAATATTTATAACTAGAAATCAAGGCAAAAGTTTAAAAAGTTGTCATAGTAGGAACTAAATAAAAATTTACGTTTAATGTTTCAATGAATGGCTTGACTATATTTGGAATTGTGGAATTTTTCTCTTATTTGGTCTTAAAGTCACTTTGTGAAGAGTAACTGCATAGTCTAGCCTTGCTGTAATAATAGTAGTCCAGGGAAGGTACTTGTAGATGCTTATATTGTGCCATTTACAGAATATTTGTGTTTTTCCAATGGATAGCCTGTTGCATAGGTTTATGACTCATGACCAGGTAACTCTGTCACAGTAAAATTGTTTTTACTGGTTAGGTACTTCTGGCTTTTTTGACCCATGTGAAGTTTATTTCTACCAAGATAGTTGTTCTCTAGGAGAGCTTTGATCAAGAGAGAGTTAGGCTTGGGCTTATAAGTCAAGTGAGAGACAGGAGGCCACATGAAATAACAGAAGCAGCTTATTACTTACTGATTCCAGAGAAAAGAAGGCAGCATATTTGTCAGGGCAAACAGGAAGAAGGGAACAATCTGACACATGTACTTAACCAACCGGTGAACATCAAGTGAGAGCCAGTGAAAGTGAAGAAACTATGGGCCAAAGTCTATTGGGGATCAGACCTTGCTCAAGATGGTTGCTTCAGGAGAGATCTAGGTTACAGAAAATAGGCAGGAATTCTGACATGTCATATGATAACTGAGAGGTTTACATACATAACGTGTAAAATTCTGTGGAGTTTAAGAGAAAATCGGGTGAATCAGCTAGATTCTATCTAGCTGTCCTTTAGGGAAGTGATCACCAGGATCAAGATGTGAGGAGACGGAACACTGGGAACTGTATCATTGGTGGCTAAGTCCTATATGAGAAAGTTATAAAATGGTTGGGGTAGTGCAGTATAAAATTATTAATAATTTAGTTCAGTAAATCTATATATGGACTGTAAACAGTGATATTTAAAAAATCAATTAGCTATGTGACTTTTGGGAGTTAATTTGTTTTTAATTCTAAAATAACATTAACATTTAATAATATTGAAAAGAAAGTTGATTTCAATTTGAAAAGTAGAGATAATCAGAGAAAGGTGTAGACAATAGAAAAGTACAATCTGAAGATTTTCTTATTCCTGAATGTCTCTTTTGGATTTCTTTCAGAGAGTTCTATTTTTTTTTTTTTTTTGTTAGAATGGGTTGATTGAAAAGAAATCAAAATACTTTCCCAGTTGCATGACTTTGGCGTTATATGTTTGATTCAGTGTTTGTTTTTAAGCATATTGTAGTATGTGATAAAATATTCAGAATTTAAATCATCCAATGTACTTTAAATATGTAGTAGATATAAAACTTTTAATACAAGTTCCTTTGCTTTTTCAGAATGCTGCCTTTTTATATGGTCTTGGTTTGGTCTACTTCTATTACAATGCATTTCATTGGTAAGTTGACTTATTCCAGGATTTTCAAATAAATTGTAGTATGTGTAATAACACAAAATATTTTAATACCCATAAAAATCGTTTCAGAAGAATCATTTTTACCTTTCTTCCAACTGCTTATATAGATAGGAACATTGGCCAATAACTGGTAACTAAATTATAAATTCTTGGTGGCAACCTGGTTATAAACTTTCAATATCCTACTGGTAATAACAATTCAGCATTGAGGATTAACTATGAATATAATCAATTGAGGATTAACTATGATCCTACTTTCTGCCTTTTAGAGTTGTAAGAGTTCAAAGGAAAATAAATTGGAGCCTCGCATGGTGGCGCACACCTGTAATCCCAGTGGCTTAGAAGGCTGAGGCAGGAGAATCTCAACTTCAAAGCCAGCCTCAGCAACAGTGAGGCAAAGAGCAATTCGGTGTGATCCTGTCTCTAAATACAAAATAGGACTGGGGTTGTGGCTCAGTGGTCAAGTGCTCCTGAGTTCAGTCCTGGGTATCAAAAGAAAAGAAATCAGTTTATGACCAAGAATTGCAAACCTGTTATGTAGGCTATATATATCCTGTATTATTTGTAACAGTTCTTAAATATGTACTGACAACTGTTTAATATAGTGTACCAAAGGTAAATATTTAACTCAGGAAGCTTCTGCTGTCTTCTTTCCTTATTTGGAGAGTCGTTTATTATGTCAGCTCTGGAATTTTGTTAAGAATTTGTGGATTATCAATGCTTATGATTTTTCCCCTGAATTAACATTGTTTTACGTGATATTACATTTTTATGTGGTTAGCTATATTTAAAACCAAGAATAGTTTGGGACCACTTTCAGGTTTCTGATAATTCTTAAAAGATCCTATTTACAGAATTCACAATTCTGAACATTTAGAACAATAGGAGATCTTAGTTTTAATGTTTAATTTTGGGATAAGGAAAATGGGATGTATTAGTTTTTATTCAGTGTTATTTAGACATTTATTTAGTAGCACATACAGGTCTGTTAGGAGTTTAGATTACAATTAAACTTGAGTCTTCGATGACAAAGGTGATGGCATTATATTGTTGTGAAAGTAAGAATGGTCCTTTCCACCAATTACACTAGACAACAGGAATCCTATGTTTGGTGGCTGGAGCAGTCAACCCTGTTCTATATCATACCTACTTAAAATACCCTCCAGGTGGATTATAAATGAAAATATAAAAAGCCCCCTCCTCCAAAAATCTTCTATAAATATAGTTATATGGAACAACAGAACTAATACCCTCACTGTCTTACCTTTTCAAGAATTTTCCATTGTCCCTTTCTGTTGCACTGAAAAATTTATGGAACTTTTTAAGTATTGTCAAATAATTGGAAAAAATTAAGTAGAAATTATCCTGAGCTTCCCATTTTCTAAAATTTTTTATAGTACTTATTTATAATTATTTTTATAAAATTGATAATGTCCGTTAAAATTAGGCAGCCACCATGTTTTCTTTACTATACATATTAAAAACTTAATTTCTTGTATTTGTATTTTTTTCAGGGCAATTAAAGCATTTCAGGATGTGCTTTACGTTGACCCCAGCTTTTGTCGAGCTAAGGAAATTCATTTACGACTTGGGCTTATGTTCAAAGTGAACACAGATTATGAATCCAGTTTAAAGGTAGATGATATGAGATTTTCCAGAGATAAAATATTTTTTTATGAATGTTTATGTGTGTGTAAAAAGTGTTGGACTTTATGGTAACACTATAAAAATTTAGAAAATTTAGGATATGAACTAAAAGATAAGAAAGGGTAGGTTTTGGGATATAAAAATTCTAAGACTTGCAAGGTAACTTTTAGTATGTTAAGATTCTTAATCTAATATCTAGTAATAATATACTAATTTTTGTTTTCAAGTTTTAAATAAGTTTGTGATCAGGAGATGGTTGCCAGGTATGGATTTCATTTCAGCATAAACATTATTTTCTTCTAAGTGATTGCCACCATTGAGAAGAGAATGAATTGATTCGTGATTCTCATTAATCATTCATCTTTGATTTCTATAGGTCTTATTAGGAAGCTACATTCCTTTAACAGTGGCACAAATATGACAGCAACTTTATATAACAGAATTTTCTCTGTGAGGCCTTTGGACTGCCAGTTGATGAGTGTGAAATTATTAGAAAGAAATACTACATTATTGTTCAAATATGTTAATTCTAACAAAAGTTTGATTTCTCAAAAAAATGTTTAATTTCCTTGGTTTATGCCATGTTTTTATTGTACAAGGCATTTTATGGAAATAGAACTTCCCTGAAGACAAATTTATTGCTTTTGGAAAGAATTAGAGCTTCTGAAGAAAAAGCATGTTTTGTGAAAGTATGACTATTAAGAATGTTTGGCCTTTTCCAGGTGTAGATCTTTTGTAGATTATCTTGATTTTAAAGATAGCATGTATATCTTTCTTTATTTAGTAAGATATACTTGGTACTCAGTAACATGAAAGTGCCTAATAAAATTTTTTTGATATTCCAATACAAATTTATTTTAAAATATTTTTATTAACATGTATATGAATTGTACATATTCAGGGGGTTCAGTGTACTTCAATACATACATGTAGAATGTACTAATGAAATTCACTCACTATCTTCCCACCATATTTGCACTCTATTTCCCAGTCTCTAGTAAGCACAATTCTATTTTTGGTTGATTTTATTTTTTTATTTATATTTTAAAGCTTGTACATTTAAGGGAAAGCATAAGCACTTGTTTTTCTATTTTATTTTACTTGACATAATGTCTTTCAGTTCCATATATTTTGCCTCAAATGAGAATATTTCATTCTTCTTTATGGCTGATTAATATTTTATTACATATAATATCACATTTGTTTTTAGCCACTTTTCTATTGATGGATATATACACTAATTCCATAACTAACCATATAAATTCCTAAATAAATGCTTTAAAAAAACTGTGTGGGTTGTCTGTTCTGAACCATTCTTAAGTTCAGTGATTTGTTAGACGGACTCATATAACTCATGTTACAGTTTTGAGATATATATATATATATATATATATATATGTTTATTTATTTATTTATTTTTAACTAAAGCCTTATGGTTACACATAGTATCTGGGTTCATCCTACAAACCCATACATGCATGAATTTGATTTCAGTTTATGATCCCCTTTCCCTCTTCCTTTTCCTTCTTGTCCTACCTCCCCTTACCTATTCTTTTTCCTCTGCTCTGTTTTCTTTCACTCCTCTACTTATATTTGATTAGTTCTTTCTATCTAGGAATAAAGATGAAGTTCCCTGTGGTACATTTGTATATGAATATAACATGATTTTTAAGAATGCATTCTGTACCGCCTCCTCATACCAGTCTGTCTATTCTCTCTTGTCATCTCCTTAGATAAGCCTTTCTATATTGTTGATCTGATTTTTATGTGGTCCTATCCTTCCTTCCCCCTTTCTGTATTTTACTGTAGCTTCTACATATGAGAGAAAACATATGACCTTTGAGTTTTGGGGCTTGGCTTATTTCACTTAGTGTGATTTTCTCCATTTCCATCCATTTTCTGGCAAATGCTGTAGAACTGCATTGTGTGATGTATATCGAATTCATCTATACATCACACAGTAGATGGATGAATAAGAAATTGTGATATACATGTGAATATGTATGTGCACATATGTATATATCACAATTCTTAATTCATTTATCTATTGACAAACACCTGGGTTGGTCCCATAATTTAGCTATTGTGAATTTTGCTGCTGTACACATTGGGATGGCTATATTGCTATAGTGTGCCAATTCTAGATCTTCTGAGAAAAAATATCAGGGAGTAGGGTAGCTGAATCATATGGTGGTTCTAACTCTATTTTTTGAGGAATTCCATACCGCTTTTTAGAGTGTTGTACTAGTTTGCAGTCCCACGAAAATGTTCAGTTGTACCTTTCCCCCTACAATCTCCCAGTATTTATTGTTGTTTGCATTCTTGATCATTGCCATTCTGACTGAAGTAAGATTAAATCTTTGTGTAGTTTTGATTTGCATTTTCCTGGTTGCTAGAGATACTGGCTAAATGTTTGTTACAGATTATGTATGTCCTACAAACCAGAGAATGTTTATTGCCTGGCTCTTCACAAGTGTTATACTTGAAGAAGCTATGATCCATTTTCTTCTTTGGACTTAAACTCTTTCTTTGCAGTCATTGACAGGATAACTTGGTCTCATATGAGCATAGTTTCACCTTGGTCTCATGAGAACAGTTGGACTTTCTTGTTAGGTAAGAAATTTCTTGCCCTCTTCTCCCATTTCTTTTCTTTGCTCTTTTTTTCCTTTGCTACTCAAGTTGTATTTCATATTTTCATCTTTACTAGTATTATTTTCAGGTGTGAAATTATCACCTTAAAAACTTTACTCCATCATTGGAAGAAGGTCCTGAGGAGTTCATGGAAATGTGTTCGGACAGTTTTACCAATGGTCAATCATTGCTCTTATCACATTACCTTTTGTGCCTAGTATTTAGGCCCTATTAATAATGAGGGTTCAGCCTCTGGGTTACTCAGAAGTTGCTTTTTTTATTGGTGTTGTTGTTGTTTTGCATTTTGAAGATTCAGAAGTTCATGGACATATCCAGCATTCCAAGGTTAATGGGTGTTTGTCTTTTGAGATCTAGTATCTTTCTTTTTTCTGTATTCCCAATTGCTATCTCTTGATTAGATGCTTTATAGTACAAATTTAAAAATTACTTTAAAGTTTATGTATGTTGTGTGTGTATGTGTGATTTATACAGTTTATATATGTACACATGTGCATAAAAAAAGAATGTTTAGAAAAGCAAAATTAAAAAGTAGGCATATCATTGTCTAATTTTAATTATCAGATATATTTGATATAAAGTTTAATTTTAATTGTCAAATATAAATAATATTAAATAAATGTACTTGGAACATTATAAATAGAAAAAGAGAATTGAAAGGTTTATAAAGTGTGCATTGAAAGTCTTTGCTTAGCTAACAAACAGGATCATTGTTTCTGCACAGATTTTTCTTTCCTTCTGCAATTATAATCATCAGTGCTGATCACATAAGGCAATTTATCCAAATCTTTATAGTTCATTACAAAAATATAGAGAAACCAATCATGCACACAAACTACACACAAATAGGCTAATGGCAACGAGGAAGAGATTGTGAAACATTTAAGTTTAAGATAAGCAAGTGGTTCTGTGTGTGAATCCAAATGCAGTTTTTAGTAACCAGTTCCATTTTATTCTATACAATAATAATTAAATTTAAACTACCATACAATGAAGAAATGAATTCAGGGTCTCTTTTGATCTACTAAATATTCTTTTGATGGGCATAGAATTTAAAACTATATCAAGTTTGTTAGTATTAAGTGAAAATTTTTACATTTGTGAAATATCCCTAACCCTAATCCTAACTCTAACCCTAACCCTATATGATTTACTTCTAAATTATATAATCAAAACAAATGGACATCAGAGAAAAAAGTAGCTTTGGTAATCTGGTTTTGAAGAATTATGAGAAAATGTTTCCTAATCATGAAATATTTAATATTTGTGGATAAAATGGTATCACTAGAACTTTCCTCCTCATTATATAATAGCAAGTTTATGATAGTATTTATAATATGGTCATTCTTGTATCATGGGGAATTGATTCTAGGACTCCCTGCAAATACCAAAATGACAAAATACTTGTTATAACCTTATTGAGGTTTGAAAATGAGGTATTCCCCAAAAGCTCTTGTGTTAATGCAAGATTGTTTGGAGGTAAAGTGACTGGAGTGCGAGAGCCATAACCTAATTTGTCCATCTTTGTTTGAAAGATCTGAGTTGAATAAATACTGTGAGTGGAGAAATATGACTAACCTGATAGTGAGGTTCAGAAGAATTTGGAGCTGGCTTGTGGGAGGAATTTGGAAAAATGTAGAGATGCAATCTCAAAAGTCTTTAGAATGTTGCAAGCAGTCCTTAATGAATGATACTGGTGAAAGCTCAGAGGTCAAGAATACCAATAGGAATGCTTTTTGCACTCATGAGGTTTTGGAGGGAAATGAAAGTACTCTTGAGAATTGGACTAGGGACCTTTCATATTATATAATATATAATAGCAAAGAGCTTTTCTACATTTTGCCCATTTCCTAAGACTTGATGTGAAGCTGAACTTAAAAGTGGTGAACTTAAAAAAAAAAAAAGTGATGGACTTTAGGAAATTTAAAGGTAGCTCAGCATTCAGTGACATGTGGCAGCTTGTTAGCAGGTATACTATGAGAATCAGGAGAAGAAAGCAGAATTGAAGGATTTTAAAAACTTGTAGTTTGGCCAGGAAAGTGCATGTCAAATTAAGTTATGGTTGTTCAGGAGATATCAATCCCTTAGGATATTTTAAAGACTTTTTATAAAGACAGTAGGAAAGGGGGCTTGAATGCCTTCAGGAAATTGCAGGACTACATAGACTGCAAATTTAGGGGTGTAAAAGGGAAAGCTCCTTTCAGTAAAAACCATAGAATTGCTTTACATACATACAGGGACCTAGGAAGTGCTTTACTCAGCTCAGCTACCTAGACACTACCTAGAGTCTGCTGCAGTAGTCATTTCAGGGGGCTCAGCTACTGCTTGAGCTGGCAGCA